CAAATCAGTAACTAATGCAAATACATTTTCTCTTTCTTTACACCGAGCTCTAATTTCGCTGCATTTTTATAAAATCGTAGCTCAAGGTACAATTTTTTTTATTATTAATTGTATATACAGTCTTTGTTAGATGCTAATACAGTTTACTCGCTCTGAAAATATGTTCTCTTTTTTTTAAGTTCTAAATGTGATGAAAGTGAGAAATTGAAGAAATCTCGAAGTTGTCTGAATAACGATGATAATAGTCTTAATAACATATAATAAGCTGAAATTGAATGTGCAATTACAGAGTTATGTGATTGCAATATTTCTGCGAACATATACCCTAAACGGTTATACCCTAACATTTCCCTAAACGGTTGACTGCGGGTTCCTCTGCGTGACTGTGAACGAAGTTATGTGACATGTAAATACTTTTCAGACATCGAGTAAAATGCATTTTGGGATCAAAATAGTTTTTCGTTCCATTTTGTTAACCAATGAAAAATTAATTTGTGTATTTGCGTTAGTTAGTTCTTCATTTTAATGATTCATTACGAAGGCTTTATTTTTGAAGAAAAAAGGAGGATTGACCTATGAGGAACATCTAAGGTATTTCCTTTTAATATGTTTATTTTTGATTGTTTCGTCATCGGTGACATTTTTCACCCTGTTTCTACGCTAGACTGTTAGCGTGCGTGGTCCTGTTCTTTAAAGACCGAGTAATTAGTATTTCCTTACGAAAACAATGTACAATTTGGTAACTACTGACTAAGGGTACATCATTTCTAAAGGTAGACCCTAAAAGTTGGGAGAGTAGCTTCTCTCGAAAAATTCTTGTTTTGTTTTACCGTTATGTTATTCATGAATGAAAAGTGTATTGAATCAAGTGGTATATTCAATAAGTTCGGTCGAATAGGAAATGTTCGAAATGTATGTTATTGGATATTTGATGGTTGTTTTTCTAGCGCAGGTCGCGGTGATCAGACGAAATATTATCACTTCTTATTAAAACGTACGAAAAAACATAAACAGGATAATCTTGCTTTCTCGTTTATTTACTTTCTGTGTATTGACTATACAGAGACTAAATGGTATAAAGAGCCCACATATTTCATATAATTTCAATTTAGATACTGCATTAAACCTGTACTACAACCGGATTAAGGCTGCACAACAAATACTTAATTAATTAAACAAAAGCAGATTGAATTTTCAGACAAACCTTGCGGGCTCCGTATTTTTCTATTTCGAAAGTGTTCATTACGTAGTGAATGTAGAGGAAGCAGTCAGGCCCGGCGGATAATGTGGTTATGGTGGGTAGTGATACTCACACGAAAAATTCCGAGTGGGTAAAATCCCCACACGGAATTTCGCGGATTATTCCATAACCGTCAAGTTCTAAAAATTAACGAAGTTTCTCGGTATTGCATTGACTAAAAACTTATACGCGATCACTGTTGCAAGATCAGCATAACAGTATTGTCATTTTACACGTTTACAGAGACATGAGCGACAAAATCGATTTGCAGGAATTGTTAAATGAGTTTATATAAAAGATGCAAAACGCAGCGTTGTTTTTGCATCGCAAAATAAAATTCTGCAGAAGTTACATAAAATAAGTGTAATAAGAATTTGGTGACAAAATAATGGAAACCTTGATAATTTGAAACAATTCTGTTTTGTATTTTCCCCTTCACGTACATTTTGGAAGGGTGATGAGGGGAAGGGGGGGATCCCCAGTCGGGTCAACTTCCCACTTGAACTTAACACCAATTGCCGGCCCTATAAACAGTCGTACATTGGCACACTTTTCAATTTTTTGACATTTCTCTCTTCTTTTGAATGAACTTTTTATATTCCTTTTTTGGGATGATACTTGAGTGAATCAGTATATGTACAGTTTTTTCAAATTTTGCATAATTAAGTTTTCAGATTCGTCCTTTTCTGAAACAATTAATGATCAGCGAATTGATGAAAAACAATTGATGATCAACGAATTGACATACTTCAACAACAGCAAAACTGCACTATTAATTATATATTTGCTGGTAGTTGAAGCCTTCTTTTGTTTCCTTTACTTTGTGACACTGCCAGATTAAATTCCGAAACCAATTGTATACAACTTAATACTATACTTACTGTATATAGGGAAATCCTTAGGTACATCAGCTCTCAGTCTCTAGGTACATCAATCTGCATTCATGAATATGGCTACATAATGGCTTCTGTTAATTGTCGGTTATCTGTAGGACAGAAGTATACACCTTGAATTAACTACATTCAATGGTTGTAAGTTTAGGTCTACTTCAATTTCTCCAAATACTACTAGTTATTACAAAATTGATGAAAGAAAAATACAGAAAATGTTATCTCTCTTGTCAAATCTTTTACAATATCACAAAATCACGGGAATAGCTGACACTATAAAATCATTCACTTGAATATATACAAATGGCAACAGCAATGTAGGGCAACTAACAATTGGAAATTTCTCTCACACACTGCTCGAAAACAAGCTTTGTCTCTAGGTACTCTGACCTTTGGTTCGACAGTTTCCCGTATTCAATTCAGAAACCGCAATGGGTGTGGGGATCCTGATTGAGATGCAGAAAACTCCCATCATCACAATATTTGAACCACATCTGTCTAGGAAGAGTTTATATTTGTTATACTTCCTCAATATTTTTTCTTACTGATTTATAATTCATTTTCAACATGTTTTGATTCATATAGGAAAATAAATTCTTGCAATTCAATTTCCATTAACTTCCCCACTATTAGACGGGTGCGGAACGCGGAAGCTGAGGGCGCTGCTTTCGCTTGAGCATTGGGCGTGTGTGGAGGGTGCGTGCCGCGAGGGCGATCGAGCGTGTGTGTGTGTGTGTCCTTGCGCAGGAGCCGCAGGATGATCCGCTACCTGCTGCTGCTGGCGCTGGCCGGCGCCGCGTGCGCCGAGAAGGCTCGCTTCGACAACTACCGCGTGCACAGCGTGCTGCCGGAGAGCGACCACCACCTGCGCTTCCTCAGGGAGCTGGAGGAGGACCACAAAGACGTAAGGGCGCGCCATTTGTGCACGAGGGCCCACTACGGCGAAAATGAGAATTAACGGTGCTACAACAACACAGTCTTTCTCGCATTATTTGTAACGGCTACTCATAATTAGTGCGCCAGGAAAGTCTCCGCACTGGGCAGAGTCAGGGTCTCCTTTCAAAAATTGCATTTATATTGCTTAGACAAAACACATTGCTGGGAAACAAGTGAAGAGGACTACTAATATTCGTTATAATTCTGGTGAACGTTTCCTTTTGTCACACACTGCAGCGTGTGCTACCAACATAACGTAAGTTGCAAGCACTCTCACCAGCAAGGTGCCGCAGCGGAGAGACTTTCCAGACGCGCTCCCATTACATTAACCTGCAAAAATAATTCCAACCGGAATTTTTTTTTCTCTCCGACGAGATTCGAACTCAGGTTTTCGGATCCAACATGATATACATATTACTGCAGATAGTACCAGTCTACCAGTTACATGGCGAAACTCAATTTTCTCGACGCTTAAACAACCAGTGGTTTCTCACACTATATTGAACATGCGCAGTTTTCGAGAAGACAGAGAGTTCAACTAAAATGAAAATAAGAATATAGTTTCTTCGAATTAGAATCATAAAGAACCCTATGTGTAAATGAAACAAAAAATGAACTACCCAATCTTTGGATGTAGTATACTGAAACAAGAAAGAATAATCTTTAAGGATTAAGTAAAATTAATAGGTGGAAAGTCGCCACCATCAGACGAAAATATAATTAAAAGTACAATGGGCAATTTATAAATTCTGTGCATAGAGTTCACTCTTAAAAACTGTGATATTGAATATAAAGAAAAATGTAAATATTAGTATTTGTATTTGATGTTTTCAAAATTATTTATTGTGAAACAATTTACGTAAACCCAAGCATGTAGTATAACAATAACAGTAACGGAGCATGCAGTAATAATAAAAGTGAAAATGTATGCATATATAACCTTTCTCTTTTCAACAGTTTATGTTCTGGAGCAATATTGGGAAAGTAAATACAACTGTGAACATCATGGTCCCTCCCCACAAATCTGCACATTTCCATGAACTGACTAAGCTTCTGGATCTCAAGCATGAAATTTATATTCACGATGTACAGAAGTAAGTGGACCTATTTATCATTTTTAGAAACATTTAGTACGCAGTGGCGGCTCGTGACTTTAAAAACTGACGGTTCAAAAATTAAATCGGAGTTGTTTAATAGTTGTTGATATATCGAGGGCGTTTAGTAGATGTTCTTGCGACTCCTAATCCCGAGGGCGTTTGGCCCTTTCCGCTTTACTAGTTAATTACTGACCCAAACGAGAATTTGGAACAATTTTTCCAATCCATCAAAAGTGCATTGCATAAATTTGCTCCTTTGGGTGCACCTTTTCTGCAATAATATCTTGTAAGCTAATTCTAAAAATGATATAACTTGAGTCCTTACCAGAAAGTGATCTGAACCGCATGTAGCCTCTCTTTGTACTCTTCCATCCTATACTTTCATGGGTGCACCTTTTGGAATGATAATATAATCAATTATTTATTTTAGATCCTTTTTTCTTGGTACCATTTGTATTTATGGATATCTTTATGATTAACAATGATACGTCCATAATTATCATTGAATATCTTCTTTCAAACTTTTACCATTGTCATTAACAACTTTTCCCCCATATCTACCCACTGATTTTCCATCACTTTCGCTGACAAAGCGCGCATTAAAATTTCCCCAAAACATTATAATATTATCTTTCCTTATTGTCTCCTTAACGACTGTCAATTTATCAAAGAATTCATCTCTTACTTGAACTTCAGTGTCATTATTTGGAGAATATCCTCCAATAATGGAGAGGGTGCAACCTACGAATCCGATTTTTTTGTTGAAGCGTATAGGAAATAAATAAAATGAGAAAAATCTCTATATTGGCAGTGACATAATTAATTTTGTCCTCTAGATTGATCGACGAAGAAAATGACCACGCAGCTGCGAGAAGTGGGGTATTTGGTTGGAATGCGTATTATCGGTTAGGGGACGTAAGTTTTAAAAGGTTTTTTGCATATAAATTCACACGTCTTGCCGCCTGTTATATAAAATTAAATTTTATTTTCAGATTTACAATTGGATGGACTCTCTGGAAGAAAAGTACCCAGAAGTGAAAGTTATTGTTGGAGGTACAAGTTATGAAAATCGTGAAATAAAGGGCGTGAAAGTGACATACGGCGAAAAGAATAAGGATATTTTCATTGAATCAGGTACGTTTTTGTTAAAAAAATTGTTGAAATAACAGTAATTTGTTTCAAAAGAGACCACAGAGGATCCCCGCCTTTATTCTCCTTCAGAGATTGAAGCTCGGTAGGCTATCAGTGAGTAGTTACTGCTAAACAAGTGAAATGGGTGTTTTAGAATTGTGTTATCACTATTTATTTGGATGAACAAGCATGTTAAGAACACTTTAACTTCCTTGGAGTTGTACGACAGTACAACATGTCTGCTTATTAGTAGACAATACTTGAATATGTGACCTTTACATTGAGTGTACTACTTGAATACAATACTACTCGTATGTTGGTAAAATAAGCATGGCATGAAACACAGAACTGTATGATCTCTAGCTATTCCTGAATGGTACCATATAGGAGAGACCTGGGCAGCATGATCCATGGGATACGATGAATCACTGAATGTTTGAGGATATCCAGGATGGTTAGGTGCTCTAAACTGATCATAATATACTGTTACAGTGTGACCATACGTACTATCCAGGTTGCAATTATCTCACTTCATTGTCTAAGGAAGCGTGAAGTATTAACTGATCTTTCCTTTTCGAAGTAAATTACTGGCAACGTGTATTTCTTTCAATATTATTTTTCGTCATTTTAATACTGCTTCAAATTCAAGATTTCAATTTACTGAAATTTTTATCATCTTCCTGAAGTGTAGGCAAGTTACGATAACTCATTTTATAAATCAAATCTGACCACTTGGAAAATGATGAACTACCGGGGCAATATGGTTCAAATAATGATGGGGCACCATGGGTCAAATGCTACAAAGTTTTCTCAGATGCTTACCAGATATGGTTTGAACATACAAGAGAAAAACTACGAAAGGGATATACGAGAAAAAAATATATAAAGAGATTATTAATTTGGTTTCAGAAGGTAGAAACATAAGAAGAGCAGCTGATGAATGTGATACAAAGTAAAGCATTAAGACGAAACGAAAAATTAAAAAATCACTTTCTGATGCAGAAGTTGAACTCAAAACAAACTACAGCTATAATGTACAGTAATTCACTTTACAACTTTTTACTGATGTCGAAGAGAAAGTAATTGCTGGCTGCAAAATGTTTTACGGTTTGTTATAAAAAATGCCGCATAATTGTCTATCAAACTACAATTCCAAATAATGTTAAATGCTCAGATTTAAGGTTATGAAAAGAAATTGCCAGGGAAGACTAGTTAGCATACTTTTTTAAAGAATTAAAGAATTGTCCTCAATGTCTCGAGAGGGTCTAGTTTTGCTCGTGACACAGCTTTCTATCGACAAAACGTTTTTTCAACAATTATCAATCTTTAAACGAGAAACCTATTAGGCGATTCTTCGCGCGTCTTCAATTTAAATGAAACAAAAGCATTAACAGTTCAAAACAGTGGAAAGGTAATTGCTGAAAAAAGTTGCAAAGCTGTGTGTCAAGTGAAAAATGCAGAGAAGGGAACTCTTGTAACATGTATTGTCCGCGCGTGACAATTATTTTCCCCAACTCAATTTTCTCGAGTGCGTTTCCGTGAGCACATGCTGTTTGTGCTCGTCAAATCCACTATTTTCAAAATGATAGTGGCTCCTCAATGATGAACAAGGAGCACTGGGGTTATTCTGGAATACACATTGTACGAGTAGCTTAGACATCGATGCATTCATTGAATTGTTTTCCCACATTTTTTCTCCACCACTAAATATTTTGTGACTATAACCATACAATGTTAAAATATACATACGTCTTTAGTTGTGCAAATAAAATTAAATAAATGACCTTCAAAGTAAGGGATTTCTGAATGTTAACCTTTTTGTGGCTCGTGGTGCCCCAGTTTCGCCTACTCGTACAGTAATTCACTTTACACAAAAGGGCGTTGAGACAATATGAGATTTTTGTTGCATACTTTGTTATCACTTATACTTGTAATTTTCTCATATACAACCTTGCTGCTTCAAGAAATAATCTGTACTATACATATTAGTTTATTGTAAAGATCGTAAAATCATGAATCTAATGGTATCCTCAATACCGAATTAGACAAAAAAATTGTGAATTTTTAAGAGCGAGTTCAAATACGAAAAAACAACAAATCATATAAAAAGGAATTATATGACAAAAACGTAGGCCTTCGCCGAGTAGCCGCTGTGAAATATGTAATTTAAAAAAATGGACGTACAATTGGTTTATTTTTCACTCTTAACGTTTATAGTTCGCATCTGAGAAGCTACTGAATCTTTTGTAATTTTCTTTTTAGGCATCCACGCCCGCGAATGGATTGCCCCAGCGACTGTGACATATATATTGAATGAGATCCTGACTCGGTCAGACCCCACGTTCAGGGCTCTAGTTGAGAGCTTTAACTGGTACATCTTCCCCTCTTTCAATCCTGATGGCTACGAATACACTCATACAACGGTACGTACTGATTGATATACCCCTGGCGAGCCGTTAGTTTCATGTGTCACATTGAAAAATGAAATATTGTGACCGATGGTTTTTCCAACTTCTCAAGTAATTCAACTGAATTATGTTTTTTGTCTTCATATGTGCCTTGTGCTTCAATTTACAGTTGAATTGTTTATTTTGCAAATATTTTGTAAGGTATAGGGGAGACCAGAGCTAAATGGTCATTTCTTTCAATCATCAGTTTTTACATTCTCACCTTACTTCATAAGAAGAGAGAGTATCGTAATTATGCGACGGAAAATAGCAAATTTACGACAAAAACTCTTTTTGCCGGGCCCTGGTAACGAAAAAGAGGATAAAACCTGTTTCTATATATAGTATATTACTTCCTTTGCTTTGTGAATCCTTGATATAGAAAAACCAACTGACGGCAAAAGCCTGTCTCTCTGTCCGTCCGTACAAATGACTGACTGACTGACTGACTGACTGACTGACTGACTGACTGACTGTCCGTCTGTCCGACTGTCCGTCCGTCTGTCTGTCCGACTGTTCGTCCGTCCGTCTGTCCGTCCGTCCGTCCGTCCGTCCGTCTGTCCGTCTGTCCGTCTGTCCGTCTGCCCGTCTGTCCGTCTGTCCGTCTGTCCGTCTGTCCATCTGTCCGTCCGTCTGTCCTTTGGAATTGGCCGTCTCGATAGCTTCGTGGTTAAAGCAACTACGTGTAAATCACGTGACCCGGGTTCGAATCCTGGTTTGGGTGACCAATTAGTATATTTATTGTGTCTTAAAGACTAAAAAGATACATTTAAAAAAACACTTTGACTAGTACTATTCGTTTTTTTCGCGGTATCGTATTTCATATTTATATTTACCCCTCATCCACATTCCATTTGAAGGGCACTTGAAAAAGTGTGATTTCCTTTTAATATAAATTTGAATGTTTTAAAAAGTTACCACATAATATTCCACATTGTGTTAACTAAAATTGATGTAGGTTTGTGCACGGCTTGTGTGTGGTTTGTATGCGGTTTGTGCTCGTTTTGGGGGATAGCATTGATCACAGACGGACGGACAGATAGATGAACATACACGGACGGACATGTAGACAGAGATACAACAATAAAAACAAGGTTTGACATACACTTAATAAATAGATTAGGGAATAAAAGTAAAATAATACAAAATGAGAAAGACGTAAGATGGACTACGTACAAAATAGCGTAAACAAAATTTCATGTAAACAATGTGCGACGTCACACATTAGTCAATTAAATATGAAATTGAAAATTAGGGTAGCTGAGCACAAACGAAATGAACGAGAATTGCTACACAGACACAATTCTTTGCAGGGGCATCGGATATCTGCAGACCACGAAATAATTTTTCTAATTGTAACGTTAAAATTTTGGCAAAAGAAACAATACAATATCCATGTTTAATAGCTGAGGCACAACTCATAAACACTAATAGATGCTTGAATACACAAGAAGAATCTAACATTTACAAAATTATATGATGGTCTATTATCCAACTTTTATTCCGATAACAATTAAAAATTTTGTAATTGAAATATTCAGTTTTAATAGCAAATGTAATTCTAAGTATATCCCGCTTTCGCTGAATCCTCAGTGTTTTCTGTACCTTCTCCATTTATCTTTTCTCCCTCTTTCTCATAGCGCACTCTCTACTTCCCTCTTAGTCATTTTCCCTCATTGAAACTGTCCTACGCCATTTTCCTCCCAAGGATCAGCAAAAGCACTGCACTGCCATATCTAATGAGGTCGCCTCACGCAGATGCGGACGTAGCAGCTACATGACTACTTGGCCAATTTTACTTCCACAAAATAATGTTTAAGAATGATGGTCAGTGTTGTTTGTGTTGAATCTGCTTTACAAGTCTTATGAACTTTAAAGACTTAATATTGTAATTGAATGGTGATTCTTTGACATCAAAACGAGTATGATTTTAAAATAGTTTTAAAGAATTTTAAATAACTGTAAATATTGTTTTAATTGATACTCAAAATGTTGAAATAAGTATTTTAACTTATTGCAGTAACGTAAAGGTGATAGAACTTTTCTTCCTGAAACGTTGTTGAACACACTACCAAAAATGTAAATGCAGTAAAAGCATTTGAATATATAGTAAAATGTTATGTCAAATTAAGTGTATTGTTCTTGTGTCTGTAAACTATTGATGGCCAGAGATTATTACAATTAATTTTCAAAAAGTACTATACTGCAACCTTCAAAAATTTAAATAAGAGCTGGTGGCAGTATGTTGTTAAATCAATCCATGAAATATAAGTTGATACAGCTGATAAAAAAATTAATGTACAAGAATAGTGAAAAAGGCAAGAGGATCTGGTTTACTAAACACAGCATTCGTAACTAATAGTCATTTTTTTCTTTCTTAATAATTTAGAAGCTTTGACTATTTTCAAGTACGTTTGTAACCTCTTCAACATTCATCAGACGATGTAGGTTTTGCATTTTTGCCCAGATTAATTTATTTATTCATGTTTGTTTATTTATTTAAATGTCAACAATCGCTTAAAACTCGTAGTAACATGCTATGGCGGGAAATGGAATCTGTTCACGATTTCCTGAGCTCTGAGATTTCTACTCTACTCATGTACATTTTCTTCTTTCTTCCTTGTTTTTTTTCCAGCTTCTGGGGATGTCGATTGCGACTATACGGGCCGGATACCCACTATGCCCCTCATGGGGACACATATTAACCTTTATACTAGACTCACACTTGCGGCTCGTGGTAAGGACACTCACAAGGCCTTCCGCGACAAAACACATACATGAAAGACAAGGGACAGACAGCCGTGCCCACTCGAACCCGCGACCCTTCAGATCGAGGCGCTGAGCCGGCAGACGCTCTAGTCACATCGGCCATTCACGTCGGAACCTAACTCATATACATATACGTTGAATTATGAATACAGGTAGCCACGAGCGTCTCTTGCAAGAATTGGTACGAAAATATTTGCTTCCATGTAATGAAAACAATATGCAAAAGGAAATCGGTTCGATATTTTGGCTATTTTCTCATATTATGCCCGTCGTGACGGAATCTACTTCCTGATGTCTGAAAATGGAGAACGATTGTTTGGAAAACTACATTCCGCACTGAACTCAAGCAAACGGGCACAGATAGTGAAGCAACATTTAGGTTCATGTGCAAACGCTCATAAGGAACCTTCTCAGCATTTGCTCAAAGGATCAGGGAAAGTGGTAGAAACAAGTAATGGAGGTGGGTGTCATTGTCAAGAAGCTGAGTATGTTTCAGACATAATTAGTCTTTTAGAATTGTACAGTCCAAATGTTAACACATACATAAAATATCATTGTTAAAATCAATACTATTGTCATTTTTGATGCTCAGTAGTTTATACTCCCCTAACTGAATATAAACAGTAATGTAGCGGAAAAGATTTTACTTGGCAGTTAAACATGCGTATCGATTTTAATCGTTTAATGTTATTTGGAAATATGTTGTAAAATTTTGTAGTACATACGTAAATTCTTCGTAATGAGCTGTTAATAATGAGGCCTGATGAATATGAGTATTACGACGTTTCAGTTATAAATTGAAGTCACCACCGTTTCGTAATTCATTTTTGGCAAAAAAAAAAAAAACAACTCAAGAGGAAAAAAACTAACAAAAAACAACAACATATTCGTAAATCAAGAGGAAATCCAATACTAGAATTTCTAGCTTAATATGAAGAGTTTTTCTTAGGATCTAAAAGTTGAGAACATAATGAACTTAGTTTAATGTTCAATTCATTTAAATAGACTTTCCATTTGAAGTTTGACATCAGTAATTGGAGTTTACAATAGCTTATTTGAAATGGGACAATGAATTTAAAAAAAAACAGTTTCCCTGCGTTTACTATTAATTTGTCGTTACGTTACCAATTTCTAAATCTGATATTTATAATTTCTTTGTTGCAAAGAATATTCGTATCATCAGGAAAGAGAATCATTCAAAACTTTCTTTTAGATTTTAATATAATGTTGAAAATTATTCTCATTAAAAATTAATAAATTTGTAATATAATGATTTATATATTTTTTTTCAAATTTAAAGGTTGAAACTTTTCTCGCTTTTTTTATAATCACAAAATGGATGGACGACACAAAATGGACAACATGGATTTGATGATTTTGAAACAGCCTTTAAGGTTGTTACAGTGTATATATTTTCTGTTTGCATTGCAGTACCGTCTCTGGCGAAAGACCCGCAGCCCCTCCGGAGACGGATGTTTTGGCGCTGACCCTAATCGCAACTGGAAATACATGTTTAATGGTGAGTTATGGAATCATTGGTATGTATTTATTTATTTATATAACGTCAATAACACTTAAGTTGCAAATAACAGATAAAAACTGTGTGGAGTATTATTAGCAGAAATGCAATATTGGGAGTGGTGACATTGTTAGGTTTCCAACAAAGGGGATATTAGTTTTTCCATTTCTTTGATACGAAAGAATGGATGAGTGACAGAAAACAATTCCTATAAATAAACAACGATGACAATGGATTCAAAGTACAATGGCAGAGGTAGTGGAAGGACCTAAAATTTAAAATCTTGTCGAACATATTTCTCATTAGAAAACAGTGAGGAAACCTTTATCGTGAAGAGCTATCATGAAGCTCTCAGTTTCAGCATAGAGAAAACTCTTGCACCTCAGGCCGCCTTATACCTCAGGTCAGCACTGGTTTTGAAAAACTGACAGAAAATTCCAATTTGGGTGTGAGGTGCGGGAAACACTATCACTTGTTTTTATAACTGGTATATATGTATCTACACTTATTTTTAGGTTCTTTATCTCAATTAATTTGATTGTGTCGAACGTAAAATTTCCAAAATTTGTCTTTAAAGAACATTTCATTACGAAAAAAAACTTCTATCAAGGTTGTAGTTATAGCAAGACGCCCCTTCCCCCCAAAGGTTAATTCAAAAATTTGGAGCCATTTTTGAGAAGTTTTGAAATTTTTTTGAGGCTTCATGTAAAGTACTATCAAAAATGAAGATATCCAATTGAAACTAAGAAAGTCTCGAATTTGTTTAGATCGATCGGGGAATAACAATTTTAGAGCAAATCGGCAACAAAATTTAAAGAAAACTGAAATAACATAAAAATATACATTTGATGCACATTTTGGAGCCTTATCTCTGTAAATAGGCTGAGAAGAGACTTTTGGGAAAGCGAAAAAAAATCAAATGAAAATTATGCTTCTTAAAAATAAAAATATATATCGAAAATTACTTATTACATTAATATACATTTCAGAAATATTCGATATTAATAATTATATTTGTTTGCTTGTGATATGAAATGTCATTTTTGTTTCAGAGGGTGGCAGCAGCGGTAATCCGTGCTCAGACACATATCGAGGATCTGATTGGTTCAGTGAAATCGAAACCAAGTCCATGTCCGAATACATTACATCGATTAGCGAAAACATTGCTGTCTATTTGGGGTTCCATAGCAGTGGTCAGATGCTACTAATACCTTATGGATTCACAAACGCTAATTCAGCAGAGAACCTCGTTTCTAACTATTGGGAACTGGTAAGGAAACAAAGCTCTATTTTGTGTTCTGATTATTTATAATGTAAGAATGCCGGCCCCTTGGCTCAGACGGGTGCGGCAGCCATCGTCTGTGCTGAGGATGCTACATGTTTGAGTCCTGCGTAGGCAAGATTGTATTTGTGATAGCCCCTTCACCTCTCATCATTATCCTATCACTTCATAATTTAAATCGTACCAACCTTAGCAAGGGATTTAGCCCCATAATGGCACGCGTTATTCTCCCTCCATGACATAATATGACTGAGAACCCTTATCTTAGTCAGAAATGGCCGATATAATAACAATAATAATAATAATAATAATAATAATAATAATAATAATAATAATAATAATAATAATAATTGGGAACCATTTGTGACAAAGTGTCAGACGTTAAAACTGTATTTATATATCGTGTATCGTAGGATTCTTTGAAATATTAATTTGTTTTCCGATTCATGAATGAACAAAAGAGTCTCTTATTTTCCTGTTTTAAAAATTTTGACACACGCATCAATATGCTCATTTTACACCAACACATGTCTAGATTAACAATCATTGAAATCGAAACACACTAAACCATACCGAAAGGGTTTCAGAACGTGTTCTTTGAAGCTTACCTCAGGAAGGGTCTAGGAATCCTTCGATCATTCGCGCATACCGAACGCCCCTTATAACGCCTGAACGTAGCATGGTCATTTTTGCCGCAACTGATTGATTCCAACTGCCTGCAAGCGAACTGCTTGATTAGTGTTTCAAGGCAAGCCAACTACTAAAATCATTAGTGCTGTAAGTGGAGAGCTTATATGCCTGGATGCTTTTATCACGGGAGGTATCGGTAATCTTTCCCCGCTGGATGGGAAGATCCAGCGTCAGCCTGCATGTCGGTTTACGGAAACACTTTTCAATACCCAAATTGACTGTCTACAGAGCGTCAGATCTCGTTAAAACAGAATGTTGCTGGAGATATTTAATTAGCCTGACTACCTGGTAGGGTTCTTCTTCATATCACAAACTTGACGTGAACCCTGAGGATGTGAGCCCTTCAGAGTATCCACCACTCCCCGGCCCGCGATTGACCTCGGCCACTTCAGGATTTAGGATTTAGGAAGCGACTGGGGTACTCTAGCCCTCTAAAACACCGGAGATGGATCACAGACATATTATGCCAGAGATATGTTTGGCACGGGTTAGGGATATTCAAATTCAAAGGCATTTAATGTAGACACATTTCACAGGAATATGAACAACGTCGGCAGGATTACTTTCTTCAAATTTGTTAAGAAGAATAACGGTCAGTCTACAATGCACTACATCGTGAGCTATGGGGGCCACAATCGCACATAAGCTACTTCAAATGCTGATCGTTTTCCCTCATAAAATAATAGGCTTTAGAACAAATTAATATGTTTATATCCCGCGCGTTCATGAGTAATGCAAATACAAATTGAAAGTTTCAACGCGGAGTTACCGTTATTTTTCTTATCATTCACGTTTCTGATATTCGGAAAGCCTAAAAATGAATAAGTAACATAAAATATTGCTCTTTCCATTGAAGGAAAAAAATACATATGTGCTAAAAAACGCATCACCTAAAGAAAATGGGATTTCTGTATTTTCTAATCTAATCTGCCATCCAAACATTTTAAACATTTATTAGTAGAAATTGTTAATCATATATTTTATCTGGATTATATGATGTTTCTGATTCCATTACCTTCATAACTCGTTCGATGTTTGCCAATCTAGTGGTGTGTTTTTAGGAGTATATTGCAGATTACAACTGTGAGAAAGGTGATGCGGTTTTTAGCACTACTGTAGTATAGTATCTGTTTGTAGGTATAGTATGTAATTGTTGGAGTAGGAATTGTTTTAAGCACTCTGTATATTTAATTTACGTTCGTTTAAGGTTCTATATTTTTGACGTCCCTACAATGTTTTCAGATGGAGATTGGCAGAGCCGCCACTAATAAACTTAAGGAGCGTTACGGCACTCAATATACAGTCGGCAACATTGTGGATATCATATGTAAGTACATTACATAAAATTCTACAACGAAAATACAGCCTTTTAAATTAGGCAAAATACAGTTTTCTGCAACATTTCAGGGTAGTACAAGGAATATGAAGTTCTCGTATAGGAAACGTTACAGGAAACTGAGCGATTTATGAAGACGCTATATTCTAAACACCTCTCAAGTTTTTGGAACAAAAGTGAATATTTTGAGTGTAAAATGATAGTACATACTTAATATGTGAAGTTGATTTGCTAAACATACAAAAATAGCTAAAAAGTACATGTTAAATTTCTGTCGTGAAAGTGGGTAGTCTTTGGAATCTCAAGAGGTTCATGTTACCTTTGGGTGCCCCTGAAGTACTGCCAGGTTAACGCAGCGCACACAGGGATACTAGGTCGACGGACGCAGGTAGAAACATCAAAATGGCTCAAGGCAGGCTGAGAATGCAACGCATCACGCCGGAGTGTTCCAAAGATTGGAATACTGTTTTTGTTTAGTGAAAATGAGAAGTGTTGATTAGAAAATAATTACGCATTTTTTCTTTCTCGCCTTACTTAGTAAGAAGATGAAGTATTGTAATCGTTTACTGGAAAACAGCGAGGTTTCCTAATAATAGAAAAACTCTTAATGCCTGGCCCTGGTTACAAAAAATTGAATAAATGAAATTCATAAATGTATAGTAAATTACTTCCTCTATATAGACAGAATCCATGTTTAGTTGGTTTTCGATACAATAAAATCGATTGTGGGCAAAACGTCAGCCTGTCTGTCTGCAAATATGTATGTGGTCAACGCTAGCCTAAACTGTTCCGACGATTTTCTCCAAAATTAATATTCCTCCATAGTTTTTAAAGAGCTCAATGCCCTTCGAGTTCGATACGGATATTTCGATTTTGGGGGTATTTTATATCAAGCCACAACATTTTCGAAATTCTCTCAAAAAATGGCTCCTTTTTTAAATTAAACTTTGTCCTCGGATAGCGTAGAGATCGTTTAGAATAATGGCGCAGGTATCATTTTCATTGAAATCGTTGATTTTTCGAAAATTGCAAAAATTCACATTTTTCGTCTTCTTAGAACTACAATATTTAAGATAGATATTTTTCTTTAATGAAATTTGTTATTTAAGGTGATATGTTTGTGCCAGTCACTAGTAACATGCTAAACTATTTATTACATTAATAGGTTTTCAATAGCTACTTGTAAATGTGAACGGAACACTTAACTATTTGTAAATATTTAAAAGAAAAGTATTGAATAGTTCCTCTAGAAAAACAATGTTTATTATTAAAATTAGTATTTTGCATGATTCTTCATTTTCCTAAGTTTGCAATACCTAATGTAGGTTATGTAGTCAACCCGAGTAGCCGAGATCGCTAAGGTAGTACTGTCGGGGCGATCTCGGATCGAAGGATCGCAGGTTTAAATCCTGCCTCGGACAGGGATGTATTTTCACCCCTCATCATCATCCTATCACTTCATTAAAGAAGTATTAATAATGCCCTGCTCAAGCATGAGGCCCTTGCTCTTGCTCTTAATGGGATGTGTAGTTGGTTAATAAAAATGTAGATTGGATAAAAAAAAAGTGAGAGAGAGAAACAGTGCTGACAATAGGCACGATTTGTGCAACGTATCTCTTAGGCCGAGAGCCAGAACTTCCGGTTGCGATGAATTTTGCAGCAGTTTTTTATCAATTACTCCTCAGAATGCCCGATGAGGTATGTTACATTTAATATCTAATTTATAAAAAAAAACTACGTAGTTAATAAAAGAAACAGGTACTTTTACCGTGTAAGTTTTTCAGTAACTTGAAAAAACCTATGCCCCTTATGGAAAAACTTATAGAAACCGAAAGTTTTTCCATGAGGGGTAGTCCATAAATTATGTAATAATAAAGAGGGGGAGGGGTTTGCGGAAGCGTTATTCTGCGTTTCATGGGGATAGCGCGGTGTTAGGTACGTTACATATATACGTTTTCATATGTAGAAAAATGTATTTGGCACGATAATCGTGTTCATGGGAATTGTTTGTGGATTTAGTATTTGATGTAAAACTAGAGTTTCTACAATAGCACATACTTTATCGTATAGTGTTACGTTACCCTGACATTGTTTGTAAATTTTTCAACATTTGCTGAAATAATTCCTTTTATTCAGTCTTACTCTAAAACATTAAAATTCCAAAAATAAATTAAAAATAAAAATCATTTTAACATTTATGATGTATACATGTTTCAATAATTGAAAATATATTTGAATCAATTGTATATTGATTGAATCTTAGCTTGGGAAGAAAATATTCGAAACTGTTCTACAGTATATTGTAATATTCAATTAAATTGGCACAGTAGATGCTCACCCATGCGTCCTCCCCGGCAACATATGTACTAGTCAGAAATTATCTCTCCAATTGTTCCTTACTTCACATAAACATTTATCAAAATCTGCAGTCACCATCATCAATTAATTCTGATATTAATTATCGTTAATTTTCATACATAACATATAAAAAATTAATACATGTTTTACATTGTATACTTTTTTCCTTTTTTGTAAATGATAGGAGGAGGATCGCCAACCTTACGTAATTATTTAGGGGGGTTCAAGCGTGCGTTACAGGGGAGAGGGTGTATTCAAAATGTTCCAAATTTGCGTTATGTTATGGACGGCACCTTAGGTTTTACAGTAGATGTGACAAGGTCGCGGGCAAAGCAGCTATCTTATTATTATCCGTTCACCCCCCCAAAAAAAACAACAAAAAAACTGATATACACAAATGTACGTGTGTTAGGATGAATCTCATTTGTTTGCAGAGTGAGCTCTGCTGTTGTAGGGATCCTGGCGCTAAAGTAAATAGTTCTCTGTATAAGAACTAATTTATCTTCCATCGTTGGTTATATTAACCTTGCGTCAAAACTGTTGCAACGGTTTTGAGAAAGGAGAACATTGTGAACTGACTGCGGGTTGTTTTGCGATAAGATAACTAACTTCTGACAGTTCAGCTCGTGAAATTCTGATCGACATGGGTCAGGTGCGTGGGACGCGGTTCGTGGTACCGCGGCGCCGCGGATCAGCCTGCACGGCCCTTGCAATTCAGTTCGTTTTAGAATGTCTGAGAGTGTGGCTGACCCTTCGATAATTAAATACAAGCGTGGGAAATTTCTTCGGAGTAGCGAAAACGCATCGTTCAGAATATTTTCAATTCGTTATTGCATACGAATCCGTCGTTACCGGTAAAGCAAATCGCAGAGTTCACTGGAATATTCGTATGCAGCGTATATTAACTCCGTAAAGAGATCACTGACTAGGAACAACTACAAAAAGCCAGAAAAGAAAAGAAAGGGGAAGAAACCTGTGATTGATACGATGACTTTGAAGTCAGTGTTGTCGATCGAAAGTACATTCCTTGCATCAAACGGGTAAATGTGCAGAAACGAAACACCAACGCTTGTAAAATTGTTGCAGCATGTGAATTGCAATCAATAACTTCCGAATTTTAGGCCAACCAATTTATACAAATAATTGACATCCGGTTACTGACATCCACTTCCTGAAGCAGGCTGATCGTAAGTAAAGTAGTTGCATTAAAATGACATTTGCATGACAGCTCTTATTCCATTTGAGTTGGCGGGGTATACTACTCGCGTCACCGAAAATAGTGCGCTGTAAGGTATCCAATCAGAAGCGTAGACCAATCAAAAGCGTAAAGATTTCTTCAGTTCGTTTACATTAGGGTTTTTCTTAGGGTGAACGGATCATAGAGTTCGCGGGCACTGCGTCCAGAGCAACTGGCGCGAGAATTCAACGTAAGGGTTGTACAAATGGCTCCGGAGTGGCGGTACATCCCAAGATACTCGACGTCTTTTAGTCAGATAACAGTTCTTGTCCCAGATTTAACTATATTAGCTCTCCTTTTCTCCACTGAAGCAAAGAAATGATCCACTAAAAGGTACTTATACATCACTTTGATTTCAAATTCGTCAATTGAGGGTAAAATTAAACATTTTGGCTCGAAAAGATCTTCATTTTCAAACCTTTTTACTTAAGGTCGCAAAAATTGCGTTATCTTCCTGTTCAGGTTAGGAGGATGAACAAAGAGTCTTGTCTGGTAAGAGAGCTGTCAGTCAATAAGCGAGAGTTGTTAACTCTTAGGGACTTGTTAATTTATTTCACATTATTACTATACACAACAAATAACTGAATGATTTAATAAAACGCAACAAAAAACGAAAACAAGGAAAGAATTCGACGTTAAAATATATTCCTGCCCTTTGGCAAAAATGTTTATACAAGGCAAAATTTAAAAAGAAAATAAATATGAAATTGTAAGAAATACTAAAGAATATAATGTCAATTCAAATCTCGGTTGACTTACTGAATAAATCTAAAAAAAGATATTTTCGTACGCAGAAACTATTCTACGACTCGCGCCGCTTCAACTTGCACATGTAAGGTAAGTGATGAATACATGGCCAGTACAGGTAAAATGGCCAAGTAGTGGCTATGGTGTTAGCTGAAACTATTTCCGGTTGATTGTGCATGCAGTCTGGGAGAGTGTAAGAGGTGCGTTAACACTCAACCAGACTTGTTGATTCACACATTCGCACTCTGGAGCCTTCATTGTCAAGAATGCGCTGTGAAGGCGTTCTCTTAACTCTATCGCGCCCTCATACATTTTATAATCTCTCGCGCTATTGTTTTAAAAAAGAATTTATTTCAGAACGTATTTTTGTAAAATTAGACTGTAAAAGTGAAATTTATATTATATATTAGTATTTAACCAGCGTATTAGTATTACCATTAGTATTTATTTTTTAGCCCTTGTTCCATGGTCTTTCTACAAGAAACAAGTTAATTTAGCAATGGCCTTATTACCTTCAAATTATAATGTTTGTAAAATGACAATAAAATATTTCTGGGTATCGTTTTTGTGATATAGCTATTTCAGCTTGAAGCAAGTGTTAAATTTCATCATGATGCTGTTAATTTGGCCAAATGCTGAAATATATAAACAGCAAAATTTGAGGCTCTTAATGTGGCCAGATTACCTTCAAATACCTTACATCCTTTTCTAGATTTGAGGGGAAATAAGAGCGGAGTCAGGGGAAGTTGCCCGTGCTCGCAGGAGCGCCGGGCTCCCCAGGCAGCTCGTGCGGGTGCGGAGCGATAAGCCATTGTCACAGTCAAGTTGCTAGCTCAACACACTACCGACGGTGTAGCTTCCAGGAAGTCTATCAGAGTATCCTTACATATGCGTAGAGGACAGTGCCTTCTTTAATGACCGACGGATATTTTTTGAGAGCCACAGTCACTCTGGGGAAAGGAAAGTTAATAATGATCGTGCGCATTTCCTTCACCCCGTTTTATATCTATTCTGCACTAACTAATTTCGTGGGAATGACTATTCTGGGGATGCAAGTCAGGTACATAATAAGAGGAATCATAAGAGGTCTGAAGGAAACGAATATGGATGGATAAACGATGAAACAAAACAGTGGAGTCAATAAACGCGATATAGGCTTGTGTGCGAGTCGACAGGCCCGACACTCGTTATACACACAAGTTTTCTTGATTTTCCACGAGTGGTGAGGGATGAGAAGGGCTCTGACTATGTCAGGGCTTAAAAGGGCGTACCAACTGTTGGTACGAACATATTCCGCCCAAGCGTGGCACGAGGAATACGATTATTTGGAAGGTACGTGGTGGATGTTGGCAGAATTCTAAATTGGTACCTGCCGTTCCGAGTCGGACCCACGTATTACGGGCCGCCTATTCAGCGCTGGTTAAATACTAAGGAACTCGTTTATCAAGGAAACTTGCGCGAGCAATATTCATAGTTTCTGAGTGCGTTCACATTCTTTTATGTATTTTTGCTTCGCAGATGTGGCGAGCGGCAGCAGCATGGATTGGGTTCGTGGAACATTTGACACCCCTTATACCTACACCTACGAGCTGCGTGATACAGGGCGCTACGGATTTTTGCTCCCAGCCACACAGATCATTCCCACTGGTGAAGAGACATTGGACTCAGTGGTCGTCATTATTGATAACGTTCTCAAAGCCCTTGACGACAAGGGTTCCCAAGACGAAGATACACCGTGATATTAGCGGCGATTGAAATGCAAATACATTGCCTTCGATGCCGATGGATAAATATTGGTAGTGATTTCATAATATAATAATAGCGCGATAATGAAAACTGAAATATTGCGCGCACAATTTTACGAGTTGTTAAACACGAACAAAATATTTTCAAACTTTTGTCGACTACACCAGTTTGCGTGCATATTTATAATAAAATGGTTTGTATATAAGCAATGTAAAATGTTAGGAATGCAATTTTATTTTACAACTCCATATTGTATTGTAAATTTCAAAACAATGTATTTCAGTTCTTGACCAACAAGGAAAACAGACAATTAAACATTTTATCGAAAGAAAATATTTTTTTGCTTTTAACTCTTATTGTAGTCGCTTGTATTTTTTGAAGACCAGGGAGTTAGCCACATTAAATGTTAGGGCTAAAAGGTCCGCTATTCGCCGTTCGAGGACTGCTCGTATGCAAATAACTATTCAACTTAGAAACTGAATTGAAATATTTAAATAAATATTAATAGAGTCACTTAATTCGTTTATTTAAGGTTTTTATCTGTTCTCAGCAAGTTAAAAACACCTAAATATACAAGAAGGCCACAAACGTTTCATAATCTTGATTTGAAATCCTCCTCAATCTTACAAACTATAATAATGCATATGGTTTGGAAACACTAAAAAAACAGTCTGAAATGAGTTGCCTAAAAAACAAAATTTACCTTTTTGCAACACGACAACTAAAAAAAATACAAACCAAACATCTAGCATTATTGTAGAACTTGACATAATAGTATCATTTGCAAAATATCTTTGAAATAATCTATTAAACAGCTGTTAAGACGTCTCAGAATAAATGGTAGGCACTTTTAGGACTTTTAGGAGGCTGGAGAAATTTTGATAATAGTAACATACGAAAACTTTAATATGAAGAGATTACTCAAGAGATATGTGCCCCTGATTCGTGGGCAACTTAACATTGTTCGACACGTCACGTTCTAACGAGAAGAGTTTTCTTGCACACCCAAACACCGATGCATGATAAATTGCTTATTTTTTTATCTATCTATTTACACTAACACTAACCTCGCACTGCAAAGTAATTACTCCGTTTAATATAACTTAAAAAAAACTACAAACACATATGCATACAGACGTAAATCAGCAACTGGAAGTACTTCGAAGTGTTAATCATTAGAACCGGACGCACACTATCTGAACTGCTGGGAATGACTGCCCCAGTCGACATCGATCCCGGATCTCCTGTATTTGCCCAGTTGTAATTTCATGAGCCACCAAGACAATTAATCCTTCGAACAACCTTTAGAGTTAAGATCGACTATGTTGGGTATACGTTACCTTTTACCACCTGGTTACTATTGTAAGCTTAACAATTGCGAAGGAATATATTTCCCATTTTACTGCCAAGTAATGTTATAACTCCACTGGTACTTAGCAGAAATAATTATTATAAATTATGATAGGCTATTCAAAGAATTGACTGACCCGGCCAGGAATTCCCGAAACCTGACTTCATGAGTGAGTTGTGACCACTGTCGGTAATGAGTTCATTGGTTGATTCCGTGGTTTTCCCGATAATTTATAGGCGTTCTGTATTTCCTCCCTGTGTGACAGGCCACGGACCGCGTGCGATCCTTCATTCTCCATCTTTAGAGATTCGAAACTTTGATATTTCATTGTGGAAGTACAAGTTAAATCATAGCTTCGAAACTGTAACGCGATAATTAGAATCAATTTTCGAGTGAAAAAATGCGACAAGCCGAGAACATAGTGTGTGACAGTGTAGGAATTACATGCGACTCGAAAAGGTGATTGAAAATTCTGATAATCCAATAGAACTCGAATTATTTCTTATCTGTGCCAAAAAGCAGCGGCAAATCGACCTCTAATTAAACAATTAAGTAAGTACATTTTTATTTTACGTTTTTTCGTGTATTTTTGTGTTTTATTGTTTTGTTCATAACCATGAGGGTAAGCAATGCAAAAGTGGCGATTTTTAAAGGATGAACAGTAGGTTTACATCTTAAGTGTACATCGTAAAATGGAGTATATAAACATTATATAGTACGATGTAAAAAAATCCTTGAATTATTGGTTTAATCCGTGACATGATCTCATCCCCATACCTACTTAGCAGGAGACGCTACTAGCAACTATTAACTTGTGGCGTACAACAATAATTATATTACAATTTCACCCATAGGTACGGGCTCATTAATCCATATACTTTTGCGCACCGATTTATTAGGCAAATTTTTAGACATTATTTGCCTATTAATGCGCTTAGTTAACTTTCGTGCGATCTATGAACAATATTCGCTAACATCTCTTTAAAACAACTAGTAAAGCTAAAACGGAACACACTTTCTCACATGATTTTGTAACGGCTACCATATATAT